TTTGCCACCTCCTGCCTCAGCCTCAGTTCACATCTCCATTCCTGGGAAGCTTCTGTACTCACCAAACTGGCTTCCCTGTCATGAGTCTGGTTTTCATATATTCCTTTCTCCACCCAACCATTAGAGTTCTTTACATCATAGAATGGGAGCAGGTCTTTCTCCTGCTGGAAACCTGGCACGGGCTTTCTTTTGTGCTTAGGACACACCTGGGCCCTTCTCACCTAGCTCCCCAAACTAGCAAATCCCTGCTCCTTCTGGCTCCTGACTGCCTAGCTCCAATGTCACACAGGCACAGCCTCGCTACGCCCCAGCCACACTGGGTGTTTGGGTTCTTGAAACTTTTTTCAGTTCTATGCTACCTCGAGGATTTTGCATTTGCCATGCCTCCTGCCTGAAAAGTTTGTTTTCCTCTGGCTCTTCACTTGCTTGGCTTCTCCTCATTCTTTGGGTCTCTTCTGGAATATCTGTCTCTCAGAGAGGCCTTCTGGGTCTACTCCGTTGGAGCAAATGCCCGTGTTTCTTTCTGGTACAGCACAGCACCCCGTTTATTTCCCTCACAGCATTGATCATGGTCTGAAAATATTTTGGTTGTTTATTTATCTATTTGTCTGCTGTCTATTCCCTATTGTTTAGTGCACTCAAGGCCAAGGTTTGTCTTGTTTAATTTATATCCCTGATACTTAGTGCAGTATATACTGGCACATAGAAGATACTCAAAACCTATTTATTGAATGAATGTCTCTGATGAGTTCTGATAAGGAGAGTCGAGTGTGTATATGTGGTGTGTGTGCATGCGTGTGTGCCTGTATGTGTGTGTAATGGTTAAATTAAAGGAAGAACACATATTCTACCCGGGTGTAGGAGAAGAGGCAGGAAGGCTTGCATTAGATTAGCATTGCAGAAAGTCAGGTTAGGTCAGCTGGGGGTGGGGTGGGGAGTTATCAGCACAGAGCTGATCCATGAAGCCTGGGTCGGTGCAGAGATCAGAGGCCTTGGCCACATAACACTGGCGGGTTGCTGGAGACCAGTCAAGTATGTACTGATTGGCGCCTAGGAAAACAGCATAATGTGCTCATTCACATAGAAAGAAGAAGAGAACCACAGCTCCAGGGTAAAATAGAGCCCGGACCTTCAAAGGAGTCACGTGACACGGTGAGGTCACATCACATTCAACTTCCACTTCTCCATGTAAACAAACATGTAAATTCCTAGGATGGAATTCATCATCCTCATAATCTGCAATTTAATTTTACAAACGGGGAAAGAGCTAAAGAGACACATTTACCAGCTCCTAATAGACAGTGGATGAGAATTTGATGGGAGCTCTTGACCACATGAGGCTCAAATTGGAGGAAGGAAGCATATTCTACAGGGAAAAGAAACTCGCTGCCCTGGTCAAGACCCCACTCTTGGAAGCACATGGTTAACATGGTTAAGCACATGGGCTCTGTGAATAAAAATAATAGCAATACCATATAGCATTTCATGAGCACGTGCTATGTGCCAGGCACTGCATTAAACTGCCTCTATGCACTGTCACTTAAAACTCACAATACATCTATCAAGTAGGTAGGATTTTTTTCTCTATTTTCATAGCAGAAAAGCAAAAAGGTAAGCCAGATTACCTCTAGATCACACAGCAAAGTTAGGAGATGGGATTTAAACCCTTACTATTTACATTTAGAGCTTAAACTCCATTCCCCTCTATCAATTTGCAAAGAAACCTCATCGCTGGCTAATAAGACCATGCCTCTGCCAGGGAAGTAAAAATGTGCACAAGGGCATACTTGATATTACTGATTTCCAGGAAAAATATAGCCTCTAAATTTATACCCTGCAGCATTTATTAGAGTATGTTGTCTTTTTTATTTATTTAATTTTTTTTGCTTGCTTATTAGAATATGACCAACTTTAGATCCTTGCCTTGGACCCCTTGTCCCTGGTCCTCAGTTTCTGCAGCTCAGCTGAAGGCAGCAGGTATTACCGGCAGAGATGAGAGTGTGGCCTGAAACATTGATCCATGGAAATTCTAAAAATTTGATTATTTCAGTCTTCCATTTACATTAACTAGTTTAATAACACAACTTATATTAATTTAAGAGTAAACATTTTGGAGAACTTGTGTTGTAGTTCTCATGTCAGGTTTGTCAGGGAGTGTTACCAGTTAAGAGTGGCTGTCTCAAAAGAATCTGAAGCATCCATTTAAAATTCCAAAGAGAATCATGTTAATTTCAAACATGATTCAATTTTAAAGTGTTGCCAATAAAACAAAGATGTCCGGAGAAACTGGGAAAAAAAGAAAATAGAAACAAAAGAAGAGAGAGAAAGTGATTAAATCTTGGAACTGTTATTGGGGAAAATTTCAAAACAGGATACTGAAGGTTTCACAAAATGCATCATTCTCATTATTCCCATTTTCAGGTAAAATGCAAACTAGATGCAAGCAGTTTTTTAAAACACCGTTTTATGTGTCTAATAGGCCAGAACTATTGAAGCACATCAGATCTCTCATTTTAATATGCATTTACACATTTAAAAATTTATATGATTGGCTATGTTGAAATGCTGTGACTTCCGGAGAACCATTATGGCTCACAGTATAGCTTTTTATTTGGCATTGTATCAATTTGGAGCTCAGAATGTCATGATCTTAATGCAGACAGCAGGTATGCATGTGAGAAGCAGTATGGAGAGAAAAGTAAGGTGCACATGCAGTAGGCAATTTTCAAATGTCATCGTTTCAACCCTAAAAAAAAAAAAAAGACGGAAATGTTCTGCTCCCTGGTCTGTGCCAGGCACTCCCGTTTGCTCACCTTGCGCTCCTCCCTTGCTTGCTGCCGTGCTGTAGTGCATGGAGGACCATTTGCCCCTTAAATATCACACGGAGCAGCTAATTTACATTATAGACTGTGGTCCCAAGAGGGAGAAACACTTAATTTTATTAATAGAGTGGATTTTAAATCTCTCTACAGGAGGCCACAGAATGTCCCAAAGGGCTAATCTATGCTATGGAGAGATGGCAAATCAGAAAAGCCCCAGCGCAATTTTTCCCCCCTCTGAATTTGCTGCCAATGAAAGCTACCGCTAGGCCAATTGGCTTTGAGCATCCTCTTGTTTGAACACCAGAATTGATCTACACCTGATGTACGAATACCTAAGCCCCTGAGGTTTACAATACGTATGCTAATGCATGGCCTAAGCCCCACTGAAACAAACAGAGCTGGGATAATAATTTTGTAACCTCATGTTGACATAACCCACCCGCTTGCTGAAGAGCCCCTTCGTGTAGAGGAAACAGAGAAACTATAATGATTTTCAGATACAGTTGACAAGAGACCATTTAGTAAACTTTTATTTTTTTTTAACTAACAGTATGCAGGGATGTTGTATTCTAGGCTGCTACTAATAATCTCATCAGAATGCAAAAGCAGCGACTGTGTTATAAAACCAATGATCTGTTATATTCTGCAAGAATTTACAAAAGCCTAATGTCATTTACTACACCATGAGAACCATACTTGGATAAAAAAAAATAAAACACAACAGAATTCAAAAACTGATTACAGCCGACGAAAAAATAAACTGTGTGCGAATGCAATGCTTTAAAGGTATAACATGCTACAGTTAAAGACATGGAGCCCAGTGGTGACTTTAGAAGGGAAGGATTTCGTGTTTAGGAATGTATAAATGTGCTACGTCACTTAGGGCCACGTTGGGATCAGGGGATCCATCCAAGCCCAGGATTCTCCGGTCCACACTTCCTTGCTGAGTAGGTGTTAGAGGCTCAGGCTGCAAGGAGCTTACAGGCTCAAAGAGTTTGGTTTTTCGTTTTTTTTGTTTGTTTGTTTGTTTGCCTTCTCAGCAGCATTTTTTGACAAAAGCATATATATAGCAGGCTTAAATATAGATTTTAAATGATTTTAACAAGGAAGAACTCTTCTTCAGTGACAACTGAAAGGTCAGTGTCAGGGATCTGTCGGGATCTCCGTGCAGCTGGGACTCAGCCGGCCCTGCCTCCCTCTCAGCTGGTACCTGGGATGGCTTGAAGGGCAGAAGCAAGCTTCCCTGAGACCATTGTGCTCAAGGCTCTCAAAGATTTTATAAATGCAATTCTGGCAGTTCGTAGCATGTTAATTTCATAAGGAAATGAATGCATTTAAAAATTCTTTCGTTTGATGCCTGAATCAAATTCTTCTGCATTTTATTCAGTAATTTAAAAAAAATCAGCTTTGTGAAGGATGATACCTACCTTTCTTTCTACCTCTAGATCCATCTGTCTATATATCTACAATCTACCTTTCTCTATCTACCTGCTTGCCTGTCTATCAAGAAACTTTGATATTCTTGCAATTGCTATAATCTTTGGAAGATATTTATTTATTCTCTCCTTTTCAAACTAAGTCCTTTGGAAGCATTTTTATCTCCAGGATGCAAGTGGCAGAATGTGAGGAGCACGGGGTCCTTAGCATTAAAAAGCATTTTTTGCAATATTGCTAACCAGCTTCCAGCAGATTCCTTATAGCATTTGTATTCCCAGATGTCCTTGAAGGTACACTTGGTCTTGCAAACTTGCAGGGAGTCATTTTGAAGTGTTGACTTAGGCGCCTGTAAGACATCTGGTAATAATGAAGATGGAGCTTTTAATGCTTTGGGATTTTATGAATGAGTTACAGTACAGTCGCTGATGAATCATTAAAGTACATCTCTACAGGAGGAGGCCGCCCATATTTCTTCACTTCTGTGAAGTTGCACATATTGATAGTTGTCCAGAAAGAAACTGAGATCTGCTGTTAAGATTGAATTCCCTTCAAATCCACCGGTTTGAGAACCAAATGAAAGTAATGTTACATTTCAGGAGAGCCTTGCTCACCACAGATATTAACATAGAGCTGTGTTTTGGAAAAGAGGTCTGTTTATGAGGGAGTCTGAATCACACAGGGCAATAGTCAAGTGTGTGAATGGTCCCTTTGCCATTGGCCATGCCACTGCTCTTCTTCCAGAGTGACTGGAGGAATCAATGTCTGCCTGGTGACCTTCTCTTCATCCTCAAGAGCTGCCCCAATACCCTCTTCTTTGTGGTACCCCTAATCTTCACAGGTAAAATTAATTAATTCTGTTACATGCCCACAGCACTATATACATAATTATCTTAGACCTCTTAACTGTCTTATAAGTATGCCTACAAATGTATTTATTTATTCATTTATCCTACTAGATCAGCAGTCCCCAACCCTTTTGGTTACAGGGACCAATTTCATGGAAGATAATTTTTCCACGGACTTGTGGGGAAGGGGGGTGGTTTGGGGATGATTCAAGCGTATTACATTTATTGTGCACTTTATTTATATTATTATTACATTGTCACTTGCCACTCACTGATAGGGTTTTGATATGAGTCTGCAAGCAATTGATTTATTATGCAGTCAAAGCTCTCTGCTGATGATAATCTGTATTTGCGATCACTCCCCAGCACCAGCACCACCGCCTCAGCTCCACCTCGGATCACCAGGCATTAGATTCTCAGAAGGAACACGCAGCCTAGATCCCTTGCACGTGCAGTTTACAGAAGAGTTCATGCTCCTGTGACAATCTAATGCTGCTGCTGATCTGATGGGAGGTGGGACTTAGGCAGTGACGTGAGCAGATAAATTCGGTTTTTGGAACGGTGCTCTTTAACGTGCCTGTTAAACATCCAAGAAGAGAGATCGAGAGAGGAGCTTGACATAAAGTTATAAGAAAAGGAATAAAAATGAGCATGGAAACATAGATTTAGGGATCATGGGATTCTAGAAGAAACAGAGAGTATGAATAGAAATTAAAGTAACACAGAGCTTCTTCTTTGGATCAGAATATAGATCGTGGAGGAAAAAAGAGTACTGTCATATGTTCTCTAAGAAATGATAGGGGTAGTTTTCTTAGTTTTTATATATTACTGTGAATATAAATGTATTGTTGATTTTTTTGTCATAATATGTTTTGGCCTTTTACTATCTATTGTTGGCTACACTGTAATGACACTTAACATTGTGTTTTGCATTTTACTAGTACTAGCAAGTATAAGACTTTTCCCATTTTTCTGGAGATCATACAATAGAAAAAGTAATAGAAAATTATAAAGGGCATTCTCAAATTGTTTGAAATGGATAATCAGTGAAATATCCATTGAAAAGTAAGTATCCATTGAAAAGTAACAAGGTTTCAGAGCTAGATGTATACAGAAAACATGTATGTGCATCTCTCTCTCCTGCTTTCTCTGTATACAGTACGTGCACACACACACACATATCACTAAAGTCAGATGTTACCATTTTATAGATATTGACAATGAAGTTCAGAGAGGTTAAATGATGTCACATAGTGAGTGGCTGAGGTAGGCTTGGAATCTCCAAACTCAGAGTTCTTTCTATTTTACTACTCCTAATTGAAATAGCCAATAATAGCAGGTCTCATCCTATTACTAAGCACTCCATCCTTATGACAGCTCCATGAGGTTAACAAATGCAGCACATAAAGTAAAGTCTTCCTACTCCTGCTTGTATCCCACACTCTAGAAACATCCCTAGCTCATGTGGAGCTAGCCTTGGACCTGTACTGAAACTGTGCATGGAGTTCCTGGAATTGATGAGTCAGGGAGTGCCATGATGACAGTGAACATACATACAGTCAGGAGGACATGGGGCAAAATAATTAGTATGGAACACTTCTGGATAATAGCCACCTTCCAAGGGCTCAACCTTTTAATGTTATGTGCCTAAGTGAAACTTCTCTCCTGGGCTTGAATTTTAAGAGCACAGGAAATGAGTAGGTTCATTGAGTGTATGGTTTAAGATAACATAGGAGAATAGAAAGGGAGACTACAGGAAAAGGAAACAAATATTTATCAAGTTTTAGGAACTTTGAAAGGTAAGAAGGTAGGGTAGGTGAGAAAATAGTAATGATGGTATTGATAGTGATATGCTAGGAGAGACAGGAAGAGGAGGATCTGGTACATTCAAACAACATGCTTTTGTTTTAAATCATCTGCTCATTTTTGACCTAAGATCTTGCTTCTGGTAGTCAGGATGCATTTAAAGCATTAGCCTTTGCTTTCTACAAAGTACGTGGCTGGCCCCATGTGACTGTGGGTGTTAGATGCACAAGGGTGAGAACAGGGCTGTGGCATCCCTCATACTCAAATCCCCAAAGGAAAGCAGGTCTGGAAAACAGCTTCCTCGCAGAATGAGTTCATTTTAGCTGACAGCTATGGAGTATCTCGGCATCGCAGTTTGTACGCAACATTGCTAGCAGGATGCCCACCCACCTCCATTGGGATTAACAATCCCCCGTGGGGGAGAAGAGGCTGCTTCCAAGTGAGTGAAGCAGCTGTTGTTTTACACAGAAATGTCAAAAGCACAAGCAAATTTCTCATCACCAATTGGTGGTGTCATGGCCAGGAAAATACTTTGTGATTTTTATGTGGTTTTAGGGGAAGCAACTGGTTGTAGCAGGTTTAAGTTATAGATATTAGTATAAACTATAGTTAAGTTATAGATAAACTGTGTCTGGAAAGTAAACTCTTGGTTAGAATTTGTTTGCTTGCTAATGATAGAAATTGAATCCGAGATGTGGCAGGTGGGATTAAATTAGCGTCACATCTTTGGAATTTTCAAAAATTGTGTTATCTTTTATTTACTTTTTTCTTAGTAGTCAAATGAGTATAAATATGTCGAATGGATATGAGTATGAAAATGTGTACAATCTTGTCATGATATAGTTCTAGTACATAAAATATGCCATTGCGAAAAATAAGTCTCTAAAACTCAAGTATTTAAGATAGTTCTCCAAACACAAAGAAGTATCAGCTATGGGTCATGTGTCCTTATACTGACCTTCCATTTATTTATATGTTTATCTCCCACCCAGTTGTAATCTATCCATGTGTCTATGCACCCATCCATCATCTAACAGCAATTGATTAAGGGCCTCTGTAGCTGATGTACTGTGTTCGACATTATAGGACACAGACAGTGTGACATGACTCCTATTCTGTGTCTTTTAGAAGCCTCAGATTATTTTGACTGTTCATCTAGAGCACAAAGAAGAGTGAATCGCCATATCATTGCAGCAGTCATCTTAAAAAAAAAAAAAACTAAAATAAAAAAAAATGTTGCTTCCTTCCCAATCCAGGGAGACACAGACATCAAGGCTTATCATGGATGTGAGGCCAACCCTTAGATCCCTTTTAAGACGAGCCCTGGTTATGCAAGTGACAATAAAGCATATATGAGCTAGAGAATGTATAGAGACTGTAAATTAGTCATTTAGATTATGAGAAAATAGATGGGAGTTCAGCATAAAGAATGAAGTCTAATATAACATTGTGAATATCTTTGGCATTTCCTTGGAATTCTGGCAAATCTGATGTGCTGTACCTATCAGTGGTATTTGTGGCACCCGTGCCTACAGTTCGGGGGCTGCTGTAGACTGCCTAAAATAAATAGCCATTTGGACATGTAATTGACAGAACAAGACAAACCCTTAGATTCACTTTCCCATTAGCCAAACCTTGTTGGCTTAATCTGCCTGATTTTGTGAGGAAAGAAACAAGGTAACTTGGTAATTAACATGTGTCACTTTGTAATTAACATGTTTGATAACACATGTTATCAAGCACTGCTCTTGAAATTGCACCTGGGGTTGGAACATTTGGAGTTGGGACCTTCTTCAGTAATCATCTCCCTCAGCATCCCATTTTGTAGTTAAGGAAACAGAGGCCAAGTAGATCACAGGACTGGCTGGAAAAGGGTCCCCACCTGGGTCTTCTGTCTGCAGGTCAGAGCTCTTTCCACTCTGCCTCTCACACAGCTTTGTAATGTGATGTTTCACTGCCAACAGCTAATCATAGGACTGATCTTAGCGTAAGCTGGGGCATCAGAGTCTTGTTTTTAAACTCCTCTGTCTACATTTTATTTTTCAATTTCCTTTCTCTATCCCTCTCAACACCCTCTCCAGTCCCCCTTCCCTCCCTATCACTCATTTCCTGATAAGGACACCTAGTACCTTCACATCAATTTGTATAGTAGAGGCTTCCTTATTTCCCATTAAACTATGTCCCATCAACAGGGCTTTTTAACCCAAAGCACTAGTTCCGATAAGATTTGCACGCTACCTTGGGATAAGGCAACAGCAAGGTTTGGTTTATGGGCAAGTGAATCTTAAGGTTTGTCTTGTTCTAGCAATCACGTGTCTAAACGGCTGTTTATTTTACTTAGTCTACAGCAGCCCGTGAGCTATAGGCATGTGTGCCACCAATAGTAATGATAGATACAGCACATCAGATTTGCCAGAATTCTGAAGACACACTTTGGTTTAGTTTTGTACGTTATCAAAAGCATAGACGTCTTAGTCACAGACACCCACGCTCCCACGCTGCATGTATTCAGACACAGAAGCTTAGGCCCAGCTGCCATCTCTTCTCCTTTTGCCCTTTGTCCAGCCTGCCATGTCCACCTTACTGTGGTTCTGGAGCCCACAAGTGTGCACATCCTGCTTTCTGTCTATTCCACCCACAGTCCACATGGGATCAACAAGAAGATATTTTCCCAAACCCATACTCATGAAGAGGCCACAAGATCTTCCCATTATACAATCTCTGAGTGTTTTTCTTAAGGAAAAAAAGAGGGGCTTTAATAGCTCCTTTAAGTTTATTTTCCCTGTGTTCTTAATTATATTAAATACCCATATATTTCCTTCCTGAGTATTCATTTAGAAAGAAGGTTTTGTAATAGTCACATTTAATTTATCAGGGTGCAATAATTTGTGTTTCCCAATCATCTTGCCGACTTTGGTTCATTATACTATTGTTTCACATGAGTAAGTTAGCAAAGTTTGGATTGATTGACTCTAATTAACTAAAACTGGTTCCAGGCTGTGCATCTATTGTCATGGTAGCTAGCCGCAAAGCCCTAAACTGCTCAGCAATAGTGATATAAGGTAATATTGATTTGAAAACTCTAGATAATATATAACCTTGGGCTTATCACTGTTTGGGAGACAAACTATAAAATAGGGGGTGAGGGAAAGAAGAGGTATGAGGATGAGTTTT